AATTGACTATATTTTTTTTCAGTGTTGCAATGCATTTTAATGGATATCATAAATGCGTAATAATTTTGTATTGAGTTTTAGAATGTTTAAAGTATGTCACCTGCGACTACATCAAGTTACATTTCGACTGACGAATCCTCCTTCGAGAGTTGTGATTTTTTTGTGATTAAAAGACAAAGCAAAACAGTTTTAGTTAAGGGATTTAAAACAACATTCGCATCGTTCTAATTGCTCTTTTCAGGCTGACATTACGTCCATCGTACGTCGTATGTTCGATTCGTCGTGCACGTGCGTTAATTGGCTGTCTACCGGCAAACTAATAACGCTTCTTAAAAAAACGATTCGTCGTGCCTTGAGAAATTTTTTGACACATGTAATATCGCTATAATAACGGCGTTCATAATTAGAATAGCGCGTTACTTTCCATTCTTGATTGAAAGTGTAATTAATTATATATTAATATTCATGGACCATACACGCTTCTTTGTTTTACATATCGCTCGATCTTTATTTGATTCTGCTTAAGCACGTTAATTACAACTACTTAATATAATGAGCAAACTGCAATAAAATTAAATGACAGGCACAAGTAAAATAATTAGCGATGAACATACATATACATGCGACAGAAACGCGTGCACGAAACTTTCTTGCACGTCTTTTTGTTGTACGTACCTATCTGTGATGCATAAATTCCGAGTAACAGTTTAAAATTTATTTTCTAGATTAATACAATTGTGTTACATCCTCCAGATTCTTAACTCTGGATATTTGTTGAAAGAGCATTACGGTTTTTTAATCATTCAAAAAACTTATGTCTGTACACAAGTCTAGGATGTATTCCTAACACTTTGGTTACTTAGACCACAATTTCATCAAAACAATTAAAAATATATCTTTTACGTATGCAGTTTTTGATTCTTATAAATTTTTATCTGTTTATCTATTTTTTTCAACGATTATTGAGATTATTTTAAACTATACTTCAAACTGCAGTCGCTTAGAATTTGCTTTTAAATTAATATATATATCTGTTAAATTACTAATTTTAAATTATCGATTTTCAACTATGTATTTTTTGCGTTAATAATAATGTCGTCGATTGCGAAAATGGATCAGATATCTACATGTACAATATATTTTATTCAATATAGTTTAAACATAGCGATTGAATTAAGTAAGTTATGAATAAGATTATGACAGATAAATTTTTGATGAATCAAAAATTATTTTGCAATTGTTATCATCCTTTATACAACCTTTTTATAAGAATGGATACCTAGAGATTTTTATAACAGTAGCTAATCTTAAAATAATGTCCGTTATAGAGGACATTGCTTAAGAGACATTCTCATATAAGATATACCCTTTCTCTATAACTTACAAAAAAAGGAGTGAAACAAAAATTATGACGTTCCTTGCAAATAATTCATACATGTTTCTCATTTCAGAAAACCATGAATTTATTTTTACAATTTATTTCTTTCTTTTCGCAGTGCTTTCGCATTGACTATTTCGCATACACTTGCATTCACACATTTATCTTTCAACCCTTTATTACGTGATATTTAATTTCAATGTGATTTATTGTAGAAAGAGATTTATGTGAAAAATGAGAATCATTACGAATATCTGCAAATTGTTATCTAAAAAGAAAGAAGTTTTCTTCAACGATATAATCAACGTGTGTTCTTTTAAATATGTATGAAAAGTATGAAATGAATGTCTACAGAGAATCTCGAGAATAAAGCATAACTTAATTGTTTATTATGTTTGTTAAAGGCAACATGATGCAATCGTGAAATAATAATACAATCGATTATGTTTCCAGCGCCAATAATCGTCGGCTGTGACCTTCCAATATGCACAAGAAACGTTCCGACGGACAGTATTTGGTCGGCGCATAGAAAACGTAAGTCACGTTGTTTTCATTTGTACGGTAATTCTATTATCGTTCAGAATTTGAATTTTGATGATATCTATGTCTACAGTAGAAAAATTAAGTCTCTTTCATGCAAAATTATTGCTTTTTCACATAGATGGGTTTACAGATAATTAAATTACATTGAAAAGAGTTGATATTTATTAAATTATTTTTTAACT